AGAGAGAGAGAGAGAGAGAGAGAGAGAGAGAGAGAGAGATTAGATAGATAAATAGATAGATTAGATAGATAGAGAGAGAGAGAGAGAGAGAGAGATTAGATAGATAAATAGATAGATTAGAGAGAGAGAGAGATAGAGAGAGAGAGAGAGAGAGAGAGAAAGAGACTTGATTTCCGGTTTTCTGGCCAAGAGAATACAGCAATTGTTACTGGAGCACTATAATGCAGTTGTATGTAATGCTAAAATATAATTGTTCCTCATAGTACATTCAGCCCGTTGTAAATGGTACATCTGATCATAACACCAACACCAGCAGGTATTGCACTGGAGACAAAGGCCACTCAAGTGTCAGAAATAATGTGTACCCTCTTACCCGTCCTCTGCTAAAATCCTTCACACCTAACCTAACACCAAAATCAGTTCTTAAAATGTATCCCCCAACACTAAACCTTCTACCCTTACCCTCCCCTCAATGCTTAACAGACCCAACTTTTAACATATTTCCTCAGATGAAGACTTATTACACCCAACACCTAACACTTGACCCTTAAAGGAGAACTATGAGGCGTGTGCAAATCACTCATAGTTCGAGCCGATTTGTGGCAATGAAACTGTCACAGGTCGGCTCAAAAGATCGGGAATTGAGCGAACACATACCATCGCTCGCTCACTTCTCGTCAGTCACGGCTCCATGTAGGGATTCCCCCCTCCCCTCTCCGATTCTCCAGCGCTGACTGGATGAACGGACGGGGAGGGGGCGGGTACAGCAGGCTCTGCTTCTAGATAGGCAGAGTCAGCTGTCACTCACGCAGCTGGGTGGATCTCGACAGTAATGTTGGGATCCATCCCGGCTGCAGCGGTCTCAGTATACAGTGAGCTGCGCAATATACTGCGCAACCCGAACACTCTAGCGACACGCGGACATATTTTTGGGGAGAATGAGTCGTGGCTCATTCATATCTAAATAGCATCACCCATTAATATGTAAATATCATATTTGGGATTATTTGCAGTGGGGGGCCAGTAGCCGTTATCTTAATTTTGGTTGCCCCTGTCTGCCTGACATCTTGTGTCTGAGTTTCTGCTGCCCTTTGTTAAATCATAAGTTGGGAAAGGGGGAACATTTCATTTTCTTTTAGCATTGCCCAAAGTTCCATACTTATGCATTCCCCCCAAAAACATAACCTAAAATCTAAACCTAGCACACGGACACAGTACCTCTAGGACTGGGGTGCCCATTAGGTTGAATGCTGGTAGATCATGATCTCAAGTCGGCTCACTGCCCTGAACTCCCTACCGCAGTGCTAGTGTGGCCGAATGTGTTGGATGCTGCAGACGGGGAGAGGCGCCCGGCACACTCGGCCACACTAGCAACGCCGGAGGACAGGAGAGCATGTGTGAAGAGCCGGAAAGCAGGTAAAAAAAACTGCTAAAGATTTGCAGTGCTTCTGAAAGGAGAGATAGCCAGAAAGAGGAGAGACAGCAGGAGAGAGAGCGAGGAGAGACAGCCAGGGGGATGAGCGAGGAGAGACATAGATAGCCAGAAAGAGGAGAGACAGCAGGAGAGAGAGCGAGGAGAGACAGCCAGGGGGATGAGCGAGGAGAGACAGCCAGGAGAGAGAGCAAGGAGAGACAGCAAGGAGAGAGAGCGAGGAGGATGAGGGAGGAGAGACAGCCAGGGGGATGAGCGAGAAGAGACAGCCTGGGGGATGAGTGAGTAGAGACGGCCAGAGGAGAGAGTGAGGAGATACAGGAGAGAGAGAGCAAGGAGAGACAGCAAGGAGGATGAGCGAGGAGAGACAGCCAGGAGGTTGAGTAAAGAGAGATAGCCAGGAGGATGAGCGAGGAGAGACAGCCAAGGGATTAGTGAGGAGAGACAGCCAGTGGAGAGAGCAAGGAGAGACAGCCAGGAGGATGAACAAGGGAAACAGCCAGAAGAGAGAGTGAGGAGAGACATCCAGGGGAGAGAGCGAGGAAAGAAAGCCAGGGGAGAGAGCATTGGGAAAAATCAGGGAAGAGAGCAAGGAGAGACAGCCAAGAGAGAGAGAGCAAGGAGAGACAGCTAGGAGAAACAGCCAGGAGGGAGTGAGGAGAGACAGCCAGGGAAGAGAGATAATAGAGTGAGGAGAGACAGCCAGAAGAGAGAGCGTTGAGAAACAGCCAGGGGAGAGAGCAAGGAGAGACAGCCAGGAGAGAGCAAGGAGAGACAGCCAGGAGGATGAACAAGGGAAACAGCCAGAAGAGAGAGTGAGGAGAGACAGCAGGAGAGAGAGCGAGGAAAGACAGCCAGGGGAGAGAGCGTTGAGAAAAATCAGGGAAGAGAGCAAGGAGAGACAGCCAAGAGAGAGAGAGCAAGGAGAGACAGCCAGGAGAAACAGCCAGGAGGGAGTGTGCGAGAGACAGCCAGGAAAGAGAGAGAATAGAGCGAGGAGAGACAGCCCGAAGAGAGAGCGTTGAGAAACAGCCAGGGGAGAGAGCAAGGAGAGACAGCCAGGAGAGAGAGTGAGGAGAGACTGCCAGGGGAAAGAGAGTGAAGAGAGCAAGGAGAGACAGTCAGAAGAGAGAGCAAGGAGAGACAGACAGGAGAGAGAGTGAGAAGAGCCAGCGGAGAGAGATTGAGGAGAGACAGCCAGGAGAGAGAGTAAGGAAAGACAGCCAGGGGGAGAGAGACAGCCAGGAGAGACATCCAGGAGGATGACCGAGGAGAGAAATCCAGAAGAAAGAGAGCAGAGACAGCAAGGGGAGAGAGAGGAGAGAGACAACAAGGAGAGACAGCCAGGGGAGAGAACAAGGAGAGACAGCAAGGAGAGAGAGCAAGGAGAGACAGCCAGGAGAGAGTGAGGAGAGATAGCCAAGGGAGAGAGCAAGTAGAGACAGCCAGGAGAGAGAGCAAGGAGAGACAGGCACAGTGGTGTATTTAGGTTTGGGGCTGCCCTAGGCAAA